TTTCACCCCGGGCACACCTGCTTAGTATTCAGTCAAAAACGCAAGGAGATCTCAGCGCCGCCTTCTCTTCTTGTTCTGGACAGCTCCTCCTGTCTGGTTTTCTGCCCACAAATTCCACTTGGCTCCATCTGCCCAGACTTTGATTTCTGTCTCTCTAACTCAGCAGGAGTGTCGTGCCCCAACTGGGCCACAGTCTCGAGAGAGAGAGGTGGTGATCGTGGGCTCAGTTTGTTTGCGTGCCTTCTCCCGGGCGTGGCAGTCCTGCCCTGCTGATTGCCCAACGTCTGAGAACTGCTCTTGCACATATTTCCCCCCATTTTCTAGTTGTCTGCAGCCGGAGACTAGTGTAGCCCTGTCCCCTCCGTCGTGGCTGGCAGAGCGCCACTGGTATTTCCCATACCTCTCCGCGCTGTACCGTTCTGGTTGCGGTAAGAATTTCAGAGTCCGCTTTCACTTCACACAATCTATTTGGAGCTAATACTGAGCTTTTTACATAAAATGTAGTTCCATTTAATCTGCCCTTATTTTTGTTTTAAACAAAATGAAGAGTAGAAAGAAAAAGCATTCATAGTTTTTATGCTGAGGTGCCGTCTCTCGCCGCTGCCTGTGGTGTGTGCACCACCCCCCCCACCCCGGCGCCCGCGGTCCGAGGAGCTCCCGTCTGGGCCACGCCGTCCAGTTCTCTTGTGACCAACCATCTTGGTTCTTGTTCATCTGACAATGTCCTGATGTCATCCTCGTGCCTGGAGAACACTTTTGCTGTTTTATAGAAACTGAGTTAACAGTTGTTTTTAACACTTTGAAGATGTCATTTCATTGTCCTTTGGCCTCCCACTGCTTAGGATCAGAAGTCAATAGAAAGGTTTATCTTTCTGTCCTCTGGATAGTCCGCTTCTGGTTCAAGACTGTCTCTTTCCTTCGGTTTCAGCGCTAGCGGCCACACGCCTGCGTCTGGTTTTCCTTGTGTGTATCCTGCTCCAGGTATGCTACGTTTCCATGATCTTCTAGGTTCGCTCTTCACCTAATTTGGGAAGTTTTTGACTGCTGTTCCTTCAGATGTTTTTCTCTGTCTCATTCTTTCTCCCCTGGGACTTCAGTTCCATGTGTATCAGGCCATCCCACAGGTCTCTGACCCTGTGTTCATCTTTCCGGTTCTAGTGTCGTTGATCGTACATGTGCTAATTCTTCCTTGGGTGATCTCCAGTCTTACTTTCAAACCTTATTCCTATTGAATTTTCAGTGAGATTGGGAGCTCCCACTTGAAAGATTTTGGAGGGTCTTTGTAAAATTTTCTATGGCTGGTTTTCCACAAAATGGAAATGGAAATTTTTTTTATTCTTTATTTAAATTCAATTTAGTTAACATATATTGTATTACTAGTTTCAGGGGTAGAATTCAGTATTTCATAAGTTGCGTATAGCAACCAGTGCTCATCACATCATGTGCCCTCCTTAATGCCCATCACCCAGTTACCCCATCTCCCCACCCACCTCCACTCCAGCAAGCCTGTTTGTTACATATATTTAAGAGTCACTTATGGTTTGCCTCCCTCTGTCTTTATCTTATTTTTCCTTCCCTTCCCCTAGGTTCATCTGTTTTGTTTCTTAAATTCCACATATGAGTGAAATCATATGGTATTTGTCTTTCTCTTATTTCGCTTAGCATAATACCCTCTAGTTCCATCCACGTCATTGTAAATGGCAAGATTTCATTATTTTTTTGATGGCTGAGGAATATATATATATACATACACACATATATATACACACACACGCACACACCACATCTTCTTTACCCATTCATCTGTCAGTGGACATCTGGGCTCTTTCCATAGTTTGGCTATTGCAGACATAGCTGCTATGAACATTGGGGTGCATATGGGCCTTCTTTTCACTACATCTGTGTCTTTGGGGTAAATACCCAGTAGTGCAATTGCTGGGTCATAGGGTAACTGTATTTTTAAGTTTTGGGGGAACCTCCATACTGTTTTCCAGAGTGGCTGCACCAGCTTGCATTCCCACCAACAGTGTAGGAGGGTTCCCCTTTCTCCACATCCTCGCCAACATTTGTCATTTCCTGTCTTGTTAATTTTAGCCATTCTGACCAGTGTGAGGTGGTATCTCTTTGTGGTTTTGATTTGTATTTCCCTGATGATGAGTGATGTTGAGCACTTTTTCATGTGTCTGTTGGCCATTTGGATGTCTTCTCTGGAGAAATGTCTGTTCATGTCTTCTGTCCATTTCTTGATTGGATTCTTTGTTCTTTGGGTGTTAAGCTTGATAAGTTCTTTATAGATTTTGGATACTAGCCCTTTATCTGATATGTCATTTGCAAATATCTTCTCCCATTCTGTGGGTTGCCTTTTAGTTTTGTTGACTATTTCCTTTGCTGTGCAAAAGCTATTTATCTTGATGAAGTCCCGGTAGTTCGTTTCTACCCTTGCTTCCCTTGCCTTTAGAGATGTGTCTAGCAAGAAGTTGCTGCGGCTGAGGTCGAAGAGGTTGCTGCCTGTGTTCTCCTCTAGGATTTTGATGGATTCCTGTCTCACACTGAGGTCTTTCATCCATTTTGAGTCTATTTTTGTGTGGTGTAAGGAAATGGTGCAGTTTCATTCTTCTGCATGTGGCTGTCCAATTTACCCAACACCATTTGTTGAAGAGACTGTCTTTTTTCCATTGGACATTCTTTCCTGCTTTGTTGAAGATTAGTTGACCATAGAGTTAAGGGTCCATTTCTGGGCTCTCTATTCTATTCCATTGATCTATGTGTCTGTTTTCATGTCAGCACCATACTGTCTTGATGATGACAGCTTTGTAATAGAGCTGGAAGTCCGGAATTGGGATGCCGCCAGCTTTGCTTTTCTTTTTCAACATTCCTTTAGCTATTCGGGGTCTTTTCTGGTTCCATACAAATTTTAGGATTGTTTGTTCCAGCTCTGTGAAAAATACTCATGGTATTTTGATAGGTATTGCACTGGATGTATACATTGCTTTGGGTAGCATAGACATTTTAACAATATCTGTTCTTCCAGTCCATGAGCATGGAATATTTTTCCATTTCTTTGTGTCTTCCTGAGTTTCTTTCATGAGTGTTCTGTAGTTTTCAGAGTACAGATCCTTTACCTCTTTGGTTAGGTTTTCCTAGGTATCTTAATGGTTTTTGGAGCAATTGTAAATGGGATCGATTCCTTGATTTCTGTTTCTTCTGCTTTATTGTTAGTGTATAGAAATGCCACTGACTTCTGTGCATTGATTTTATATCCTATGACTTTGCTGAATTCCCCTATCAGTGCTAGCAGTTTCTTGGTGGAGCCTTTTGGGTTTTCTACATAGAGGATCATGTCGTCTCAGAAGAGTGAAAGTTTGACTATTTCTTTGCCAATTTAGATGCCTTTTAGTTCTTTTTGTTGTCTGATTGCTGAGGCGAGGACTTCCAGTACTATGTTGAATAGCCGTGGTGAGGGTAGACATCCCCATCATGTTCCTGACCTTAGGGGGAAAGCTCTCCGTTTTTCCCCATTGAGAATGATATTCGCTGTGGGTTTTTCGTATATGGCTTTTATGATATTGAGGTATGTACCCTCTATCCCTATACTCTGAAGAGTTTTGATCAAGAAAGGATGCTGTACTTTGTCAAATGCTTTTTCTGCATCTATTGAGAGGATCATATGATTCTTGTTCTTTCTTTTGTTAATGTATTGTATCACGTTGATTGATTGGTGGATGTTGAACCACCCTTGCAGCCCAGGGATAAATCCCACTTGGCCGTGGTGAATAATCCTTTTAATGTACTGTTGGATCCTATGGGCTAGTATTTTGGTAAGAATTTTTGCATCCGTGTTCAATCAGGGATATTGGTCTGTAATTCTCCTTTTTACTGGGGTCTTTGGTTTTGAGATCAAGGTAATGCTGACCTCATAGAATGAGTTTGGAAGTTTTCCTTCCACTTCTATTTTTTGAAACCGTTTCAGAAGAACAGGTGTTAATTCTCCTTTAAATGTTTGGTAGAATTCCCCTGGGACGCCATCTGGCCCTGGACTCTTGTTTGTTGGGAGGTTTTTGATGACTGCTTCAATTTCTTTGCTGGTTATGGGTCTGTTCAGGTTTTCTATTTCTTCCTGTTTCAGTTTTGGTAGTTTATATGTTTCTAGGAATGTATCCATTTCTTCCAGATTGCCTAATTTGTTGGCATATAATTGCCCATAATGTCCTCTTATAATTGTATTTCTGGTGTTGGTTGTAAATTCTCCTCTATCTCTCCTTAGCACAGTTTAACCCTTTGTCCTTTAAACTAGAGTTGCTAAAAATTTTCTGTATCCTTAAAAAGAAGGAATGGGTATATATGTCCATTTATGTTTTAAAATTTAAGTGTATCAGAAATTTTCATATTAAAATAATAAAAATATTATAACTAGTTTATTTTTTTTTAAGATTTTTTAATTTTAGGGGCGCCTGGGTGGCTCAGTTGGTTAAGCGACTGCCTTTGGCTCAGGTCATGATCCTGGAGTCCCGGGATTGAGTCCCGCATCGGACTCCCTGCTCGGCGGGGAGTCTGCTTCTCCCTCTGATCCTCCCCCTCTCATGCTCTCTGTCTCCCATTCTCTCTCAGATAAATGAATAAAAAAAAAAATTTTTTTTTAAAAAAAAAAAAGATTTTTTATTTTTAAAGTAACTCTACACCCAGCGTGGGACGCAAACTCAAAACCCTGAGCAAAAGAGTCACACGCACCACTGACTGAGCCGGCCAGGTGCCTGAATTATGTTTTAAATTTAGAAAACATTTATCTTCAAAGAAATGTAGAGCATTTTATATTTCCAGTATTTCTGAATTATCTTGTTTCCACCTGCTGAATTATGGGACTCTGCAGTAGTTATGAAGTAATTTTTCTTATGTAGTATATGTTAACATTTGTAAATAAGAATTTTTCTCATTTGCAGGTACAGATTTATGAATTAGAGGAACATAAGATTGAAACATGGAGGGGTAAGCACAATTGGGCGTTAAAAATCTTTTAATATCAGGAAAAAAATGTTCTTAATGTGTAAAATGTTTTAACTTCATGGATCCTTCTCTCTCTGCTTAATAAACTACATGATTAAAACATTCCTATTTTAATCTCAGTAGTGTACCATACTATTATAAATACGATCCATTCTGTTGAATGGACATTTATGGAGAACCTACAGCGAGTCTGTATGCTAAGGCTGGGACATAAGGACGAATGAGCTCGCCTGGGCCCCAGCCGCTGCCCCCAGTGGAGTCACCACTCACTTCTGAGTGTGGCTGTCCTTGCCCGCAGACATGTCTCTATATAGAAAATGCAGCAGGGGAATGCCCCCTACAACTAACAAAAGCAAGGATCTGTTCTTAAATTTAATAATTATTTCTTTACAAATTATGGAGAAACACAGAACAAATGAACTTTAAACTGGAAGATTTGGATAAATCACATGAAAAAATAACCCTTTAAAATCACAGGATCTTTTCTGAAATGGAGCTACTTTTTAAATTCTCATTCTACGACTGTGTGATTGTTCTTAGACCCATCATGCTGGATCGGTGGCGGGGGGGGGGTGGATTGGACGGGGTGGGAGTCACTGAGGAACGCAGTCTGATGGACGTTGGGAGAGGGCTTGTGTAGGGGTCTCAGAGAAAAGCCTGCACAGAAACGGAGGGACCTGTAGACAGAAAAACATTAATTAAAAATGGAAAATCTGCTTGGAATGATAAGCAGTCTTTGTGAGTGGCAGCTGTGAAATCTGAACGTCCATTAGAATTCTCTAAAGGGCTAGGGGCTCTTTTAATTCCCTTTGACCTGTAAGTTTCATCGAATGATATAGTTGATTTCTAATGGCTTTATTAAGTCAAACCAAACAAACTCGGTCAACATGAAATCTGTATCTTAGCACTGCCTATTATGAATATATAACTTAACACCAAGAGAGATACTTCTTATCAAATTCTACATAAGTAATGTAAGACCAAGATTTATATTTATATTGTATATTTACAATTTGATATTACATGGTATTCGGAAGTAATAATGGTAATGTCAAGATATTCTTGAATGCTTTCTGTAGAGAAACCTCAGCAAGGCAATTACAGTGGATCTTTAGAAAGATAATTTCTATAGACTACAAAGATCCCCAAGATACAGATTTTGAGCATTAGTTTGGTAAAATAAAACTTAAGAACGCTTAAAGAACAAAGTTTGTTAAAACTTACGAAAATTAGTTTTAAAGGATTTCATGAGCGCTTCATCTCCGGAGGGTGATAGTAATTTGGTAGCATTCTAGTGACCTCTGCTGGTACTGCTTTTTCCGTCCAATTGCTTGACTTTTCTTCTCCTTAAAACATCTATTGTAATACTGTTTTCAAATATTTAATTTTTCCACAATGGCAACATCCTGAAAACAGTTTATAAGTTGTTTAAAATAGTCCTAACTATAATTTATACAGTAGTGTTAGGTAAAGTAGATTTATTTGATTTCGGTTTTTAATCCTTCTAATTGTTATCTGTAAACTGAAGAGAAATTTATGTAATAATTGCAAACGGCAAATGTGTTACTAATTGTATATTTTCTTTCTATAAAAACAGAGCTTTATTTACAAGAAACATTTAAGCCTTTAGTGAATATATCTCCAGACGCAAGGTAAACGTGTCAAGTTTTTCTCCTTTAAAAACATTCATTCAGATTCTCGTTTTGTTTCCATGATTGATGGATTTTTTTTTTTAATCTAGATAGGGGACAGCCTTCTTTATTTCATATATTAAACTTAATAAATTTAGAGACCATAGACTCAGCCATTGTTTGCCCAAAGGATTGATAAGAGGCTGGGAAGATGGTCATACTAAACAGTTTTAAAATCCTGATCACCTGCCGTACAAACCCTCTGGGGAGCTTGTTAATTCTGCCCATGCCTGGGCTCCACGTCCGACCTGCTCGGTGGCCTCTGGAGAGTAGTGCCCAGGAATGTGCATTACAGCAGCCCCCCCCCCCCCCCCGCCCCCAGGGGCTCTAATGTGCCCTGATGTTGAAGGGCAATCTCCGTTAGACATTGGTCCAGAGGCGGTCGGAAGAACGCGCCGCCCCTCAGTAGCGCTCTAGCACATACGTTGTGATCCAGGCCTTCTGGGACAGCTCTGATACATTTCCACATTGTATGAAAATGTTCTTCAAACTCTAAGCACGAATGAGAAAAAGTGGAATACTGATTTTTAGTAGTTTATTTCCAAACAACCAGGTAAACGCACCGGTCTCCTGGTTGGCGGTCCCGGAGTGGGCCGCACGAGGTCGGCCCCAGTGCGGGGCACGGTCCACAGCTCCCTGACGCTGCTGGTGTCCGTTAGCGGTCCCAGGGGCTCACCGCTGCCGTCCCTCGAACAGCAGCGTTAAACGCACTGCTAGAAACTTCTAGCGATCTGGAGCTGGCTCTTGTATCTGCCATTAACACAGACCAAAAAATCAAAACATTTGCTGAGATAGCCAGTTTAAAACTTTTCCAAAACACGGTTTTAAGTCAAGTCAACCTTTTATTATAAGCTATGATGTAAAAACACTGCAAATGCTTCTAAAGCAGGGGTGGTCCAGAGCGTTTTACATCTCTCTTTAAAGCCTCCTAACAACTCTGATGGCTTTTCCCGCAGCCTCTTCGACGCTGTATACTCGTTGATCAAAAATAAAATCCACAGATTGCCAGTTATTGACCCTATCAGTGGGAATGCACTTTATATACTTACCCACAAAAGAATCCTCAAGTTCCTCCAGCTTTTTGTAAGTAGTTTTTAGTGTTTCTAAAGATGTAGTTGCATCTACTTTAACTAATTTACTTCAAGTAAGTTGGCTCCTATCACCTCAGTAGGAGACATTAATTTTGGAATTGGGATTGTTAGGAGGTCTCCGTTTCTCAGCTGCAATTTCTCAACTTAGTTCTATTTAAATTGTACATTCTTCAAGTTGATTCCAATTAAAAAGCAATCGCCTTTCAGTGCAAGTATCAAAATTATAAAAACACTTGGAATTCTCTATTTAAATTAGAATATTTTATCACTTAAAGTATGAGGGCAGTAAAGCAATTTGCAAGTCAGTCTAAGAAAGTGCTGTGTAAGATAAATTGAGCCAGTATTTATAGCAAACTGCCTTATGATGCTTTATTGGTATCATGGTTTTGGAAACATTCAAAAAATACTGTCCCCAGGATTATCTAATTATAAATTGCTGTGATAGAAAAACACAAAGCAAATAAAATTTTGGCAAGAGAGTACCATGTTGGTCCAAATTCGGGCTGTGTTATCTGTAGGTTTTTTCAACTGTATTTGGAATGAGATGTCTTCATAATCATCCATAATATTGACCTCTTTGGTCAGTATTAAAAGAGGCTCAGAAGGACCAGAGTTTTTACAAGAGGACTTTAATTTTTTTCCTTTGGGTTACATGCACTGAGTTTGAGGTTAGAAGTAGTTGGTCAGCTGTGACCAGTAGGAGGCCTCATTCCTGCTTCAGAAGAGATCACATGAAGTTATTTTTTTTTTAAAGATTTTATTTATTTTAGAGAGAAAGGAGGACAGAGGGAGAAGGAGAGAGAGAATCCTAAGCAGGCTCCACACTGAGTGCAGAGCCCAACGCAGGGCTCCATCTCACACCCCTGAGATCATGACCTGAGCCGAAATCACAGGTCAGATGCTTAACCTACTGAGCCACCCAGCTGCCCCATGAAATCATTTTTCGAAAGAACTTAATAGACATTAAAAATCTACATCACATTAGCTTTCCCATTTCCTTCCACACAGCTTCAGTTACGGAAATAAACTCGCATTCTGGGGTGATGCAAAGGAGCCAAGGCTCCTCCTCCTGGGGCTCTGCTTCCATTTTGCAGGCAGAACCACAGGGGGTTTAGTAAGTGGGAGGAATCCCATGTCCATCAAGCCAGTCCTATATTTTAGTAGTTTACGGGTAAAACTAACACTCTCCGTGGTTAAATAAATGCTAAGAAAGACGGTAGGAAGTTTACTGAAAAGCACACAGTTTAGTGGAGAGACCGTGTCGGGGATAGTTAGGGACGTGTGGAGATGGCTGGACAGACGTCACCTCTGTTGTGCGCAGGCCTGTGCGCTGCTCGGGCCGCCACCTCGGTGTCCAGGCTGGACGGGACCCAGGCTGGGGCCGTGTATTCAGGGCCCACAGGCTTTCAGCCCCTCAGAGTAAGCATTGTAAAATAACATTAATTGTCAGAGCTACATACTCTTATGCATTGATGACGGGGCAGCTACTGTCCTAAGCACTTCCCAAGATACGGCTAATCCTCGCCTCTGCCCTCTCAGGTAGGTATATTGATTAATCCCATTTTATAGGTGGTGAAACTGCGAGGTGGAACGACTTTGCAGGTCACCGCGGGCACATGGCAGAGTGGTTTCCGCCCCGCGGCCTCTCGTGGCCTCCCTCCCCCTGCTGCCCCTCAGCTCGGAGGTGCCTGGCTCAGAGGGTTAAACCCGCCCCAGGTCTCCCAGGTGTGACGAGGTCGAGTCCAGCCCGTTTTCGAGGCTGCGCCCCTGCGGACGAGGAGTATCAGCTGGAGACAGGCCTTGGTGTTTTCTCTTCATAAAGAGTAGAGGAGGTGCTTCTGCCAGTACCGCCTTACATTTGGGCCAATATGGTAATTAAATCACGCTCTTAGACTATGCAGCGAGAGGTTTTCAGATTAAAATACAGAATTTTAAATAAATTTCAGATCCTGGTTTTTACTGAATTGAGATCATTTTCTGAGAAAAAGTGGCCTTACCCGTGGAGACTTTTGACAGTTAGCCTAGGCGTACAATATGGAACAGGGGTTAACCTGCATCAAGATGGGCTAGATGACCTAATAGGTCTTTCTTTTTTTCTCTAAATTTCTAGGATTCTCATGATTTGAATATTGATGAACTCTTTGACTTGAACATTTTGTTTCTTCTAATTGTTCATCTTTTCCTGATAATTATAAGGTACACCAGGAGGACGGAATCAACTATACCCTTTATACAAGGTGGATTTTTGAAACCATAGACCTTATTTTGTTTTAGTCAAACGTGACCCTAGACTTCTCTCTTCTGACTTCTCCCTCCTCCTCTAAAACAGCCCATGGAAAGAAAAGTGAACTTTTAAAGGTTCTTTTAATTCTGTTCAGTTGGCTTGTTCTTTGTTCCTAGTAATCACAAGTTAGAGTCCTCCAGAGGAGAGTTCAGGATGTAGGGTGGGATGGGGTGAGGACTTTCTTAGCCGCAACTCAGATCATTCCCATCAAACGCTCTGGGCTTGGAAATGTGTGGGTTCTTCGTAAATAATGCTGACGGCAGGACCAGGAATTTAACATAAATAACTAAGAATAAAGGATTCTTGGGTGGCTATGGGTCTTAATTTCCAAAGAGACCTCTTGTTTCCTCTTCCATCCATGTTTTCAGTGAGTGAAGGGAAAGGGAACCTTACGATCTGTGTGTTCTGCGGTATTTTACTGAGTAGTTAATTATAAGCTTAGAATAGAAACCAGTTTGAACAAAAACTACAATTCTTATACGTAACATTTCCATGTTAATTCAGACAGCCAGGTAGAATGCTAGAGAACACGAACTTTAATTTGTTATACGTAAGTTTTTTGTCCAAGTGTGGACATGTGAACATTAAAAAGGTCTGTTTGGGCTCTAGAGCATTTGTGTTTATCTTCCTGTTTAGATGTCTGATATGCCAAAGCCTGCCTTCATGAAGCAGAACCTGGATGCCCTTGGAATTGGGACCTACCACAACATCGCCTTCATCCACCCGGACACTCCCATCATCAAAGCCTTGAATGTCTTTGTAGAGAGACGAGTGTCGGCCTTGCCTGTGGTGGATGAGTCAGGTCTGTGGGTTTGATCATACCAGGGCCTCGGAGACCACACTTTGTCCCCTGGGGGCAAACTTACTGTTGAGTAGTCAGTGGATCAGATCCGATGGGTGGCGGGCAGGGGTTGGGGATGAAAATTTAGATAAGGCAGATCAAGTCAGCACCAAGGAGCCCTCAGGTTAATGAGAACTCTAACTGGCTTATTTTCACATCTTCCATTAACATGTGATTTCATGTTCATTTAAAGTTAGACAAGTTTGTTACTTAGCAATACTTAATTGCTAGTAAATATCTGGTTAAGATAGATTTTAAATGTTATTTTTTGTTTCTAGGACATTTTTCTAACCTCTGTTTTCATTTTTAGGAAAAGTTGTAGATATTTATTCCAAATTTGATGTAATTGTAAGTATTTTTAATTTTGTCACACCTGTCATCTAGAATGCATTTAAAACATACTTATCTGTTGCGGTTTTCCCTAATTTAATAGCTTTTGTGGATGTGTGGATCAGAGGATTCCGTAGACTGCCCATAGTCATTGTACTTAATGTTCACTGGCTTAGCAGTGAAAAATATGTATTTTATAGTTGTCCTTTCAGTATATGGATAGTTTATCCAGCACTATAGCATGTGTAAATACTTTAAATGGTCCTATTGCCATGCACAAGACATTCTTCATTCTGCCAGCAGGCAGGTGCTGTGCACACATGAATTTGTGGATCCCTTGCTAAGGATCCCATTGTTTGCTGATGGGAACAACCGTTCTAAAGAAGACAGCAAAAAGCATTCAGGAGAATGACTGGAGGTCCTATTTTTTAATCCCCAGCATAAATCTATTAGCGGTAGTGCTACATCTTTCCTCTGGCTGCTTTCTTTTCCCCATTTTAAATGTGCTTCCTTAGGGTTTTATGGTATTTCTAAGAAAGTGAACTGAAACTTTAGTAGCCCCAAATGTGCTCATCATTTTTGGCCCTAATGTTGATCGCAGTGTTAAATACTTCTTTGCAACCAGCTGTCTCAAACCCTTTTGTTTCATTTCTTCTGCTTAACGATAACAGACATCCCAAAACAGGCTGATTGGAATTTGGTTGAGTAGGACTGTCTAAGGCTAAAGCCCCGTGGGTCTGTGGGCCCTGTCTGGCCTGCTCTTCCTCCACGGCTGCTCGATCCCGGGGCTCCCTCAGCACCTTCCCAGCGGAAACCTGGCTCCCCGGGCCAGGGCACCCTGGGGCGCTTCTCACCCCTTACAAATGTTAGTCCATCTCTCCAAAGGCTTTATTCACGTGGGCTCTAGAGCCTCAGAGGATAAGAATGGGGGGATTCTTCTGAAGGCCATGCCGACGCTATGTCACAAGGGTGCTCCACGACGAAGGTCTACCTCGTAAGCTTTAGTTATTATTAATGATGAAATACTGCTAACAGCATGTGATAACCTGGCACGGTGATGAACATGAATGTTTTTAAAAATCAGGTCACTTGAAACTTACTTTATTACAGAACCTTGCTGCTGAAAAAACCTACAATAACCTAGATATCACAGTGACCCAGGCCCTTCAGCACCGCTCTCAGTATTTCGAGGGTGTCGTGAAGTGCAGTAAGCTGGAAATCCTGGAGACCATCGTGGACAGAATAGTGCGGGCTGAGGTGAGGCAGCGGGGCCACTCCTCCCTCCCCACCCCTGCCCCAGCCGCACTGCCCCAAGTACTCACTGGCCGGGGTGCCACGGGGGATGGATTGTGAATCGCAGGAACAGCCAGGGAAGCAGAGGCAGGTTCTGTCGGATATCGTGCTTTCCCTCTCCAGAACCTCGCGTGTTGCCTGATGCGTAGGTGATCTGGAAATGTTTATTGAATTGAATTGATAAGTCCTAATATCATAGTTGAATCAAACTGGTAAGAGACCTCCATGGTTTAAAAAATACATAATTAAGAAAACAAATATCCGGGGCGCCTGGGTGGCTCAGTTGGTTAAGCGACTGCCTTCGGCTCAGGTCATGATCCTGGAGTCCCAGGATCGAGTCCCGCATCGGGCTCCCTGCTCAGCGGGGAGTCTGCTTCTCCCTCTGACCCTCCTCCCTCTCATGCTCTCTGTCTCTCATATAAATAAATAAAATCTTTAAAAAAAAAAAAAAAAAGAAAACAAATATCCCAAGAGCTTTGAGTTCCATTAGGGTATTTATGAATTTGAAGTTAAAAATGTGTGATTATATAGTTTTAACAAAGTGAAGGATAAATCAAAATTATCTTTTGATCTTTTTAAGTTAATTTTCTCTCTTGCCTGATTTGGATAATAGTAGACAGTCTGATAACGTCACTTCCTGACCCTCAGCACTCACGTGCCCTCGTACTTTACTGCGTGTAGGATTTTTGGGTATACTAAAATAAAAGATGAGCGAGATCACTGGATAACGCATCTAATTCAGTATACCCACTCCCCAAATCATTTCTTTCCTTTTTTTTTTTTTTTTTTTTAGATTTTATTTATTTATTTGACAGAGAGAGAGATAGTGAGAGCAGGAACACAAGCAGGGGGAGTGGGAGAGGGAGAAGCAGGCTTCCCGCTGAGCAGGGAGCCGGACGCGGGACTCGATCCCAGGACCCTGGGATCATGACCTGAGCCGAAGGCAGACGCTTAACGACTGAGCCACCCAGGTGCCCCTCTTTCCTTTCTTATTAGCCAGGGATAGGAATGTTCTCCCATTTATCCCTCTCTAGGACTGAAGGATGCAGCAGTGTTCTTTCTGGAACAATCCCTGAGTAGGCAGAATCCATTCATAATGCTATCTCTGCTCTGGTACTTTTTACTGTAAATATGAGAATGCAGTCCAAGAAGAAAAGTCCCTGATAATTTTTTAGGCTAACAGGTGTTCTTAACATTACATATGAAGTAGGGGTCGCATCAGAAGACGGCCTCCCTTGCCGGAGCCGTCAGACAGAAACACAGCTCTGTTTTCATCATTGGGTACTGCAGACTTCCACCTTGCCCTGTGCTCACCTGAGGGGGGTCCCAGCCCCCATTACCACTACTGTGGCCTTTGGAACACATTTCACTAGCATCTCAGTATGAACTCCTAACCGTTTCTACTTGAATTTAATATCCATCAGTCTTGTTTCCCAAAGAGTTTTCATTGACTTAGGAATACATCTTAACTTTTAATAAGGTCCTTAGAATTACGTGCCTTTTGAAGATCATAGGTAATGATCCTATTTATAAGGACAATGGACATCCATATGATAGAGTCCCTCGTAACAGTGAAAAATGTTCTAGAAGAGTATTTGGTTGATATGAAAAAAAAATTAGCAATGTATTGCTAAGAGAAAAAGCCAATTACTGTATATAGTATGATTTTATTCATTTATATGCATATATGTGCAGAAGAGAGGTTAGAAGGACCCACAGCACAGTACTAACTGGCTGTTCCCGGGTGGCGGGGTTCTGGCTAATGTGGAGAACACGGGGAGTGCAGGGCTCCTCCATTCTGAGCTCTCTTGTTGGAGCATATATCCCTCAGGTAAAAGAAAAAAGGTAATTGGCTTGTCCTTTCAGTTCATCTGGCAAGCAAGCAGATACTTCTTTGTAATAGGAAATGGGTCATTGAGGAAAAGAAAGATGTAATTCAATACTTTTCTCATTATGCATCTTGACTTTTTTCCCCATTAAATTAATTTCTTGGGGCACCTGCGTGGCTCAGTTGGTTAAGCGTCTGCCTTCGACTCAGGACATGATCTCAGGGTCCTGGGATTGAGCCCCACATCGGGCTCCCTGCTCAAGCGGGAAGCCTGCTTCTCCCTCTCCTCCCCACTCAGTGTTCTCACTCGCTATCTCTGTCTCTCACTCTCAAATAAATAAAATCTTTTAAAAAAATTAATTTAAAAAAAAAAATTTCTTTCACCCAATGACTCCTTACTGGGGGACCAAGGCCAATTTTACCTTAAATACAGTTGTTGGAGAAAGGGCATACAGTATCAGCAATGATTTATTTTTATGACATAAATACCACACCAGCTTTTTGATACCCAGGAATATTCACTAGTTTAGACTCAGCAGCAAATGACAAGAAAATGTTTTTGGTGGTCATTTCTACCTGGTAGAATTAATTCTCTGGGTGAGATGGCCACCCCTTGACCTTCAGTAGTTCAAAAGAGAGTTATTGAATTAGCATTTTTTTTTTTTTTTTTTTTTTTTTTTTGAGACAGAGAGAATGAGAGACAGAGAGCACGAGAGGGAGGAGGGTCAGAGGGAGAAGCAGACTCCCTGCAGAGCAGGGAGCCCGATGCGGGACTCGATCCCGGGACTCCAGGATCGTGACCTGAGCCGAAGGCAGTCGCCCAACCAACTGAGCCACCCAGGCGCCCCTTGAATTAGCATTATTGATCGTTAACAAAATGTGTCTCATAGATGATAAAGCATTCTCTGATCCTAGATATAAGCTATTATTTTAATTTATAAATAATTGTATTGCAGAATTATTGAAGACCCTATAGTTTTTTAGAGCGATTTTTCAAGTTTAAGTAATCTCTACACCCAATGTGGGGCTCAAACTCAGGACCCGGAGATCAAGGGTTGCATGCTCTTCTGACTGAGCCAGCCAGACTCCCCTAGAAAAACTTTCAAAAGTCATGTCATGAGAAAGAACAAAGTCATTTTTTTTTAAACCCAAAGCAAGCTAAGATGTGAAAAGCATCCCCAACACAGTATCAGAGACAAATCTAAAAACAGAATTTCCTTCCCTTTCCATCTCCTTCCTGTGCCCCCCACAGTGTGTGGGGGGGGGAGGGGGGGTAACTGTTACATAGGGAGAAGAGGATCATCTCCAGGGTAACCAGCAGGTGTGTGGCTGCCTCAGGCCTAAGTGCTTAAGCTTGGAAGTCAGAGGTGCTCAGAGAAGCTTGATGCCTGCTCACTCCTTTCCTGTGTTAAGGATGCTTTGTTAGAGTAATACCTCTGGCCATTCGCTTATAAAAGACCTGAGTAGAACATGACATGTGAATATACTCTATTTCACTTTATTATAGCTCATTTATCCTCTGAACCATATGAACATATTAATATATGAACTTCGTGGAGAAAAGACTATAAAACAATGAACTGTGACCTGTTCTGTTCCAGCTCTCACTTGGATGTCTTTCCATGTAAATCAGTAGTGGATAGTTACTAGAAACTGAAATACTACTTTAAAAATGTAAAAACTTATGCTTAAAAGAGTATTATGACTACATCATAGTTCATGTTTTGGGTTGTATCATTCATATGTTAATATTCTAAAATCTGAGAATAGCGGGACATAGCTGGCAAATTTTTCCTACAAGTAGTTAAAGTCAGCATTGCATTTTAACTTTAGAGCCTAAGACCTTTCATGGTTCTGGACACGGTTTCTGTCTCTTATACGTGGGGTGTATTCCTTGTATAGTATATGAAAGACGTATTTGCTTATACCCATTGTAGGTAGAACCTTCTGTAAACTGACAGGGGAGCTACTTGTCTCGTTTGCAGGTGCATCGGCTGGTGGTCGTGAACGAAGCAGATAGCATCGTGGGTATTATCTCCCTGTCGGACATCCTGCAAGCACTGATACTCACGCCCGCAGGTATGCGTGCCGCCTGCCGGCCCTTCCCTTAGCACACAGGCCGAGCGGGGAGCAGGGCAGGCGCCTCCAGCAGCTGCTTCTCCAGCACCCACGCCTCTGGAAACCCCGTGCACTTTCTGTCTGGTTTTTCTTTGTAGTTTTACTGTTCTAGTTGGGTGAGAGAGAAAAGTTGATAGAAAGTATTCTTAGCATCCTATCCACGACCACAGTGCCTGAATAATTGAGGATTCGTTGCCAGATTCATAACCTTTTCCATTAAAAAGCTAAGATCTCTTTGGAAATTACATCAACTAGCGAACAGCACTGGTGGCTAATCTCGTTTTCTGCCAGGTCAACTCTGAGCAAGCGCTCACAGCGCAGTCAGGGAGCTTGCAGGGAGATGGGGGGGCCTCCAAAGAAAGAGGGGTTGGTGTGTCCTGTGTGCCGTGTTTAACGGCGAGGGGTGGGCTGCAGGGTCCAATAACCACCAGCCCTCCTTCTCCTCCCTGCTTCTCCCCTTCCCACCCCCATTAAGTACAAACAGTCCAGCCTGGGGCCGGACTAAGCTGTGCCAAGACAGGCCAAGACCACAGACTAAGTCACTTCTGAGAGTCTGAAGTGTGCATGTACTAGAGTATTGATTTTTCTTGAGTTCAGAAACCAAACTAGCCAAGACTAGGTTTCAGTCGGTTTATAACCTAAAGATGCTCATCTGGAAGGAATCCGTGGCACCAGTGAGAAACAGCCCATCCACGATGTGAGAGCAGCAACACCTGAGGGCCGTCCATGGAATCAGAAACTCTAGAGCTGGGGCCTCGGACAGTTTCAATTTCAGCTCTTAGGAAACCTGAAACTCACGATAATCTTCATAATCATGAAATAGTGATAAAATGACTAAATGAATATGAGACTGTTGACAGCATTATTTGTAATAACCCAAAGCTGGAAATAACCCAGACACCTAGCAGAAGCAGCAGATTGCATGACGTTTGTTCTGTGGAATGCCCCACACAGAACTGACCACGAACACACATTGCTGTATTCGACCTCACACACGTGACATCGAGCAGAGGAGCAAGACCAGTCCAGGGAGTGCGATGACACTAACCTACAACTTCCACAGCTCCCTCATGCGCAGTGGGAAAAGGCCTCCTCAAGAGCAGACTCCTCCTTGCAGGCACGTAGCTTCGCACCTTCAGAAAAGGCCCCCTACCCCGGGCAGCAGGCCTGGGCCAACGCACACATGTGCCCAACAGCGTCAGCGAGAA